CATTCACTATCACAATTCACAATAAGTAACCATAAGAAAAGACTCCATTGCTGATCGAAAGTGACAACTAATTAATCTAAAATGCTATTATCTGTGCAGTATATTTTCTCCTTTTCTGATGTTTCCCAGTTTCAGAAGAGGGAAACCTGAAATTTTCGCTTGGAAACCTCCAATTACACGATAAACGAGCAAATCCCCCAAGAAATAATCAATGGTGATATAATCTTTCCACTATTTCACCTGAAAACCGACAAAACACCGTCTAACCCCAACAGTAAACCCGCAATCACCAACTGAAGGATCGCTGAAAATGACCATTCCGAGCCCATCAAATTCACAGGACTGAGGATTCTGTTTTTTCAATTGATAGTAGCTGTTGAATGCATAAGAAATATTTCCCTTCTCCCCAAGACCATTGCAAGATCCCCCATAGTTGATTGTCTTGCAATCAGCAAAACTACAAGCAAGTTTGAAGTGAGTAGCAACGCCAGAAAGGTCCCTGGTCGGATTAGCCACACACCATCTAAAAGGAAGATATTGATAGCCACTTCACATTCTTTAATGAGCCCTGCTACATTACCAGGGTGGTGGCTAATAGGGTCGGTCCAGGTTACTCACATTCAGGGGGTGTGTTGAAAGAACTAGTAAACATAATAGCCTCAGATCTTAAGTTCATCATAGACTATGTTAGGAAGGCATCAGATCAGTGAAAGCATCAGTTCATCACAGGCCTCAGACCTGTGAAGGGTCAATTCATCATAGGCCACTTTAGGTAAAAAAAATGAGCAGCAGTATTCAGAGAAGTAGCTACTCTACTTTTAACCAATTTCTTGTATTGTACAGTAAGTCAACATTAGCATAGAACATAGGCAACCGTTGCTTATCCTTCTATATAAGCTACCACTATTCTCCCATTGTAAATCAGAACATATAACAATACAACTATTGTTCATCATATTTACTATCTGAAATTCAACATGGTGTCAAAGCAGGTCTTGAACCTGTAAGGGCCAAAGCCAGAGAAGCTATCCCTCGACACATTCCAAAAAAAAAAAAAAAATGTCTCAACACACTGATAACATCAAGCTCACAGCTATTGTCCTCAATGGCAACAAAAATTATATTCCCTGGTCCAGGTCAGTGACATTAGGTCTCAGTGGCAAAGGGAAACTTAAATTTGTCACTGGAGCCAAAGAAAAACCCAAACCCACTGATCCCTAGAAACCTACGGAGGAAGAAAACACCAAGATCAAAGAATGGCAAACCACAGACCACATGATCATGTCGTGGCTACTGAACACCATGGAGCCCCAAATTGCCAATATGTTTATGTACTACAGTTCGTCCAAAGAAGTGTGGGACAGAGCCAAGAAATTATAC